GCTCCGCTGGGGGCTGCGCGGTGTCCCCGGTGCTGAACGGGAGTCACCGCCCTGCTCGGCACTGAGATGGAAACAACCCCCGGGCTGGGCTCCGCTCCCCGGCAAGGTGGGCAAGCCTGGGAGCTTGTGCCAGGGCTCTCTTTCGGCTGTCCGGGCGGCTGAGCGAGGTACGGAGGTGAACGCAGTGCTGTGCCAGGGTGAGCTCTGCGCTGGGAGAGGGGCTTGGGGTGAGGAGGTGGCCTCTCCACATCGTCCATTATCGACTGCAGAATTCCCAGGAGCCAGGAGGCATCACTTCGTGTTGTGTGCCAGGGGCTGGGCCTGCCTGTACCTCCCAACGTGTCTGCTCAGCGTCCGGATGTGTCTGTGCTGTTGACAGGAGAATTAAGCTCCACTTACAGTTTGGTACTTGGCGCAGGGTGAGGAATTCTCTACCCGGGGAGCCACGAGTGGGCTGGGTTGTATGCCTCCTGTCTCCATTCAGTTACAGAAAACTAACAAGACATCGAAAAGAGCTGTGTAATGATGGCTGGGGAAATGAGATTAGTCCCTTTCTAGAAGGAACAGCCTTGATAGAGCAGTGCCAATGCTTCTTTCTGTGCTTAGGATGGGACCAGAGCAATCAAACAGCTTGGTATCTGTTCATGTGTGTCAGTGAGGTAGGCTGAAATGCTCTGAGGGTAACAAGAACTGGCAGCGTAACCTATTTCTGCATGAAGTATAAAATCCTGTACGTAAAATTGAATTGGTGGAAGTAATTGATCCAGATTTTCTATTCCTTCTGCCTTTGGGTTAAAGGCAAGCTGCTTAAGAGAGCTTTCTGGTGTGCCCACCCTTTGCTGTTCAGTTGAACATAAGCCATTCTCTGTATAGAAACAGTGAGAATTTCAATCTAACAAAGTCTGGTTTTAAGCTGCCCCTTTTCTTGGAGTCCTCCAAAACTGTTGTTGACCCCATCGCCTGTCAGCAGCCTCTATTTCAGGTATTAAGTTCAGCTAGGATGGCAGCCAAGCAGTTGCCACTGCAACTAATGTCGTCAGAGAACCGTGTTTATCTGTGGCTGACTGAAGCCTGATTTTGAACACACCATATGCAATGATCTCAATGATTTGTCCGGTTTATGTTCCTGCTACTGCAGGGAGTTCTGCTGAATAACATTGCTGTGGACAAACCAGTTTCAGTTGCAAAGTTAATCAAACCTCCCTGTGCTTGCCAGGTTGACGGTTGGTCTCATTCACTCGCCGTATCTCTTATGTTTCTGGTTAATCTTAAAAAGTATTTTAATTAGCTAGTAATCTCTGTCTCTGCCCTTGAAGTGTTAATGCTTATCTGTAAGAGCGTGTCTCGCACTGTGGGATGAGAAGCAGGATGGCTCTCAGGTTCTCAGTCCTGCAGTCAGGTGAAGGCCTTGCATGCTCCTTGCCTTAGTTCAGCTTGATTCATCTCCAGCTCAAAACCGTGATTCACGTGAGTTGCATTTCCTTAACCAGACCTGTAAAAAGGCACACGGATGTATTTCATGCACCCACATTTAATACTGACTAATGGAGAGCTGAGTGATGTTACTGCTGAGTGATGGGACAGGTAATGTGTCCTATGCATTAGCATACCAGCAACGAGTTGGGCTGATGGGTGCTGATCTAAGCTCTTCCTCTTCCACGAGAAGCACGTCTCCCTAGCTGAGTGTCTGTTAAAGCTGTGATGCAACATTAAATCTCCTTGCTGAGAGGTGTTTGTAAGATGGAGGTGGCCTGGAAAGCCCTGGCCTGCTGAAAAGGGCCAGAGAGGTTAAAATTGAGTTTGCTAAGTCTGAAAGTAGGCAGAGTATAAGCAGATGCAACTGCCTGTAAAAGCAACTGGGCCTGTTTACTGTGCCTGGGACATGTACTTTAGCCTGGTTTATAATATCTGTGCTATTAATATTTATGTCTGAGGAGAGATGAACTTTATCCTGAAAACTGGCACAGGGAGCAGTGCAATGTTTAGGTACAGAAGAACCTACCAACAGCTTCTGCAACAATGTGTGCAGCATAATCAAACTAGAAAACTGTAATTTGGTAATGCTAGAACACACAGGGTAAGCTGATGCTGCCAGGCTTGGGCTGGTCTCAGCTCTCACATAATTGTTGACTATTTCTTCTTCTGGGATCTCACAGAAATCTTACAGAATACTTAGTAATTAACTTGGGTGGTGTAATTTGGTGCCATAAATTTATGAGGTTAAATGTCTGCTTTAGCGGGCAGAAAATGAGGGGGGTGTGGGGAGGAAGCTGTCTCCTTCGATGCTTTCTAGGAGTTCCAGGTAGCATGCATGCAGTACTTGTCACCTTAGGTTAAAGAGTAGAGTGTCATCTGTCACAGGAGGGATTTTACTTGTGACAGTGCTTTTCCATTTGAAAACTGCTTTGCCTGAATTTGCTTTTGCTAACATGCAGTCCCCCTCTTCAGTGGTGGAGAAATAAGGTAATAACACCATTAAGTGTGGATGTAAAACAGACTTCTTTTAAATCTCTTGCAGAGCAAAGAGTGGAAGATGTACGACTGATTCGAGAGCAGCACCCAACTAAAATACCAGTAAGTCTGGTTCTTTTCATTTTTCACTTCAATTTCCAGTCTCATATTCCTTTTAGTAGTTGGAAACCTGTAAAAGAGCTGTCCAAACAGGTGAAAGTTTGGCCGCTCAGGGTCACTAAGCTTGGATTTCAGAACATTCTCAAACGAGTAGACAGCAGTCAGTGTGGCAGAGCAAGGTGCTAGCTGGGACTGGAGGAAGTGGGGTTTCCTGTGTATTGCTGCTGCGTGTTGTAATTTCAAAGAAAACCACACCCCAGCTGAGTTCTGAGATTCTCCTGAGTGTTCAGCTCTCCTCAGTGTGTTTCTTCTCCAAAAGAAGAGTCTGCAGGGGCTAACCGAGGAGAATACACAGTAATATAGAGACAGATCCACCTTTCATCACCAGTCTGTGCTGAGAGGGACAGAAATGCTTGTCTTCCGGGAAATGGGCTTGTCTTCAGGGTGTAGAAGTGGTGCTCGGCTGTCAAACCCCTCCACCTCACCTTAAAGAGAAGATCAGGCCTCGCCTTCTTATTCTTTGGCTGGTCAGCTCCAAATGTTGCCTGAATTTTTGTTTTCTTTCATTTATGGCACCCTAGAGGTTATAAATGCAAAGTAAAGCATCCTAGGAAGCAAAAGGCATGGTTTGTGTTCTATTGCTGATGAGTTCTTTGCAGCTGGTGGGCTTTATGTGATGGCTGTCACCGTAGTAAGCAATAAATGTTTATGACTGGAACAGAGGAGGTCTTAGGAGATCTTTTGGGGTGGAAGAGAGAACTGTATTGGATGCCTCAGCCTTTGGTACTTAGTGGTGAGAGATGATGATCCCTGTGAGTGGAAATTCTGCTGAGAACAGACTGCTTGCAAACTGCACACTTCAGTACACATTCATTAACAAAGCAGTTGTTGCCTCCACGTCAAGTAGAAACCAGAAAGTTTTCAGCTTCTGTTCAGCTTTAAAGCTGTTCCATCTTGAAGCTGCTGCTGCTGTTTTACTGTGCTGTTGGGCATGGGAACAAGTTCTATTTTACAGCAGACATTTTTTGTCTTTTCTGGAATGCACAGTTTTCCCAAAAGGCCCTTTCCTAACAAATCTTTCCTGACAGAAGATTGCTTTTTCACCCACCTTTCACAGATCACTTTGCTGTAGTCCCCAAGCTCCGTGACCTCACATGGAAAGCCACTGATTTATAGCAAAGCTCTCCTTTTAAGTCAGCCATGGGCATACTACTAGCAAAAATTCAGAGGGGCTTGGTGAAGATGTAGTGATGCAGACTCCTAGCGATGGCAGAGGCCTGCTGGGATCTCTGGAGGCTTACTGGGACTGCTTGTCTGTGTCCTAACTTGGGTCATTGCCTCATTATTATCATTAGCAGTTCTGCATGAGATAAGATGTCAGTGTCACGCTAGCTGATAATGGACCCCATGCTGTAAACATCCTTTATTTTGGCATTGGAAATATTATCTATTGGTTATGATCTGCTTTTTTAACAACAGTGGTGTATTTTTTCCCAGAATGACCCAGCATTTGTTTACACTGCTATAAGGAAGCCTTTGTCTGAAATAATTAAATTGGCTTGCTATCTCTTCACCTGAGCAGATTCTGAACATCCACACAGCCAGGCCCCGTGAGCATGGAAATGATCCAAGCGGATGGTATCACATTGCTACCGTTGCTTTGAAAACAGCAAACCCCAAATGGCTGTGGAAACAGGAGTGCACGAATTCTGAGATCATTTCTTAAAAGCAGGAACTATGTACAGTTGCTGGGCAGGGTGCTGCTTAAATTGGCAAATCTGCAACTTCCTTGTGAATTCAGTAGTTACTACCTAGCAATCTTGATGGAATTAGTGGTTCCTAAGCGTGCAGTTTTGAGATTAAGGAGGAGAAAGTTCTCTCCTTTGAGGCTTTATAGTCTTCAAAAGTAGCTTTCTCTCATGTGTTAGAGTAACCATGAGAGGTGAATGGAATCACATGCTAATCTGGAGGTGTAGTTCTTAGAAAGAGAAGGTCTTAAACTGGAGAAATACTAGTGAAAACTGCTTGAATTTGCAGGCTTCTATAGCAGCCAAGGTCCCTAGTCAGTCACTGTAATGTGTTAGAGCGAAGCGTGCTTTATCTTTTATTGGGTTTCCTTGTTGCTGGGTAATTCAGTGCTAGATTAAATGATTCCAGCAAATGAGCTGTTCTAAAACTGCACTGAGGCTGTGATGTGTGCTGTTAAATCCCTGTTTGTTCCCTCTTTGTGCAGTGACTCTCATGAACAGAACAAGAGGAGCACATGAAGATACTTAAAACTGTTGCTTTTCAGATGTGAGAGGCTGCATTCACAGATGAGGGGAAATGGGGTGTAGCATAAATGCTCCTGCTTTGCTGTGTTTAGAATGGAGGGGGGAGATGAAGGCACCAGACACCACTTCTGCCTTTCACATCTACTCCTTTCTTTTTGTGTGTCTCTTTAGGTGATCATTGAAAGGTACAAGGGAGAGAAGCAGCTTCCAGTTTTGGATAAAACCAAGTTCCTGGTGCCAGATCATGTTAACATGAGCGAGCTAATCAAAATTATCAGGTAATATGCTTTGGTTTCAGTGTAAGATGCATCAGCCTAAGATTATGTTTCTTTGTTAATTCCCCACCTGGTGTATGCATTTGGGAACAATAAATAGAAGATTAATCTAATGAGCCCTCGGTATCATCACTAGGTCAAATTGGTGTTTTTCCTTTGGCTTTGCTGGGGAAAAAACCAAACCTCTGAAAATCGCTGTTAGTCTGCTTTCAAGAGAAATAACTGGCTCCCAGAGATGTAGGAGAGAGTGTGGGACCATGAATCCCTGCCTAACATGGGTGCCTCTGGCCCAGGGCTTCAGTGCTTCCTGCTTGGCTATTTTAGGCTGCCTTCCCAGTGTTCCTCCTGGGAGTCCCTCTCTGGAGTGCTTGCCTCTTCCCACCCACTGGAGGGGAATGTGGGCTCACGGCCAGAGCTCTGAGCTATGGCTCAGGGTTGATGTTGGCTCCCTTTGATCCTAAAATTCAGAGGTTTCCCTCAATAATGGTGTCGAGGCCTGGAAAAACACCCCTTCGGACCAGTGTCTTTTTGTCCCAGCTGTTTGCACAGACTGTGGCTTAGAGACTGCTCCGCTCTCGGTGTTTGAGCTTTGCTGACAACGAAAGCCAAAGGGGAAATAAGCATGGAATGGAAGTCCTCTGGTCTGAAACTGTGGTTTAAAATTGCTAGAAGTGCAGTTCTCCTGGCTTAGAAGGAATAGTTGATTAGTAAGAGTAGTCAAGTGGTAAACTTGGAAGTTAGCAGCAAACCAGAGTTTGCTGGTCACAGTGTAGCCTGGAGGTGGTTCATAGAGGCCACAAGCTATAAAAACTGAGAGTTGTCCAGGTTGTCCAAACAATCCCCTGCGTCCAGGGCTTGTATAGACACTGTCTGTGGCAAACAAATCCCAGCTCTCACATAAGTAAGAAAGTGAGATAGGGATTTGGAAGCATGATCCAAATTGCTTAAGTTTTCCAGAATTTCATAAGAACATTAAAGGCCCTGGGCAAAAAAGTCAACGGGAATCTGAAGGATTTTTCCCACCTTTTTGCTTTGGCTTTATTGTTAATAGATAACTTGGTACCAGCTGGACTTGGTCCTCTGCCAGCCCTCCTTGTGCATAGCAAAGCCTGTCCTTCCCAGCCCTCAGGTAGCTACTGCCTTCTCCCAGCCTTCTGTCCCTGAAGCGATGAGAGCTTGGGTTTGGAAGGGTCCTTTTTTAGGGAGGCTAAATAAAGCCTTGTTCCCAGCTGCTGCTGCCCCTCAGCAGCGAGGAGAAGTGTCAGGAAGCTCTTTTCATGTGTTGTTTCCTCCTTTCTTTGGTTGCATTTCCACACAGAATCATAGAATGGTTTGGGTTGGAAAGGACCTTAAGATCATCTAGTTCCAACCCCCCTGCCATGGGCAGGCACACATGTCTGAGCTGCTCTTGCTTACTCAGTTTATGAAGTAGTCAGCTCCCTGCAAACCTGCTTTCCAGTAGGCAGCTCAGCAGAAAGACCTATTCCCCCCACGTGGAATGAATGATGCATGAGAAACCTTTAAGTTAGGTGTTTACTTTGCCACACAGTCTGTGCAGTCTGTCACTCTCTGCCCTCCCCATGATGCTTCTCCTGGGAGGGAGGAGACAAGGGTGCGAGGTGCTCCGAAGGTTAAACACAGGCTGTTACAGAGCTGGTGACAGAGTGACTTTAAAAGACCCAGGGCCTTCACATGGGAGCTCTGCCCGGCCTTACTGCCTCTTTTCAGACTGATCTCTCAAGGTCAGCCTGGGTTTATGTTTCCAGTGAGATGCTGCTGAGCCAAAGGGCCCACAGGCTTTGCGTGCTCCCTGGTTGTACAGGAATCACCTTGGCTTCTCCTTTTCCCTTCGGTTTAACACCCTTGTCAAGTGGAGCTTTTCAGCTAAGGGCTTCTGCCAGTAGATAGGTCTGACTGGACTGAGTAGGTGACCTTAGCAGAACTTCGAGGTGGGAAGCAAATGCCTTCTCCCGTGGCAGAGCAGCTTTGGGTGGGGACATCTTACTGCTGCCAGTGGTGGAGGACTTTGTTTTGCCATCTGTTGTAAAGCCTTTGTAAAGTGCGTGGAAATGCCAAGTCACCGCTGTCACGCTCCTTCCCCTCCGCTCCCCCAACAGGCGACGCCTGCAGCTGAACTCCAACCAGGCGTTCTTCCTCCTGGTGAACGGACACAGCATGGTGAGCGTTTCCACACCCATATCCGAGGTGTACGAGAGCGAGAAGGACGAGGATGGGTTCCTGTACATGGTGTACGCCTCTCAGGAGACTTTTGGAGCGCAATCTTCTGTCTAAGACATGCGAGTGGCTTCTAGCCTAGGATTCTGGTTTACCCTTGGCCATCACCCCCACTCTTCCCCACACGCACCCCAGGGAAAGAAATGGATGTCACCTATGCTCTCAGTACCTTAGCATAGTCTTGCTTTAGCAGGTGTCTCATCTTATCTTGCCTTGTTTGTAACTATTAAACAGTACAGACGAGCACCTCCAGCTTTGAAACCTGCTGTAATATTCCACACAGGCACATTTACATTTCTGGGCTTTATGAATGGAACCCGATTGTGCATGTGACAAATTGCAAATAAAAGGGACACTCGATTGACTTCTAACAAGCAAACAGGCACTAGGGAGGAGCTGAAGTGTTTTGTGTGACAGTTTTGTGCAAAACCTCCCTTTGATTCCGTAAAGCTTTCTTTTTTTTACATAATGGGAAGGCTTCTCATGAGAGCAAACATGTTTTAATGTTCCAAAGCGGAACTTTGTCTTCTGCAGCTCGGTCAGACTCATGTCAGTGCTGCAGCGAGTTAAGGCGAGTGCTTGGGGTGAGCTGGGGGGAGTCCAACTCTCTTTGTCTCTTGTTTTTTGTGGCACCTCAAGTGTAGGAACGGTGCCAGTTTCTGAAATACTCATACCAAACACCACAGCTTTATCGTAGTTTTAGGAAGTGTTTAACTGTAAAATACACACCTGGACAAGTAACACTGAAATAAACTCCAGTCTGTTAAGAATTTCCAATCCATGTGCGTTCGGTGAAACACTGTTCTCATACGAGCTCGCTTCCAAAAGATTTCCCCCCTCCCTAGCCTGGAGTTTTGCTGTTTCCTTGAGAGGAGGAGGTAGCGGAGGGACCCACTGGCAGCACCGGGATGTGTGTGGCCAGCCACGGAGCGGGCCAGTGCCTGCTGAGACTCAAGCAGTGCCCGTCCTCGTTCTTCCCATTGGCTCTGCAGGGCCTTCCGACTGCTCTGTTGTACCTCTCCTCTTGCACCCAGCGCTGGACTTGGATCTGCCACTGGAATTACCAGCCCATGCTGCCTAACCAGTCTGGCACTTGTTTTGGGTCAGGGAGAATGGCTTTTGGAAGCGGCTCAGGCCCAGGAGCTGCTGTCCAGAGTTGATGAACAAATAATTTTTGCCATCACTGATGTTTCCTGCCACTTGTATGGGGTTGGGAAGATCCCGGCATTAAGCCTGACCTCAGACAGCTTTTGCAGAGGAAGGGTATTATGTAGGACTGGCGTTTCTCCTCTGAAGTTGTTGTCAAGGGAAGCAGGATGAGATTACTCATGTATATTATGTGTCTGTAAACTAACTGCATCTGTTACTGGAAGCTAATTACTATAACGGGGGAAAACCAAGCAATACTACTGCGCCTCAGCACTCTAGCTCAGCAAGGTGTACACTTTTTACTACCTACACCTCTCTGCACGCATCTCCTTCACAAGGCTTACTGATTTGGGATTTTTTTATTGTTCTTTGTGTTTGTACTCCAATGTAAACTTCTAAATGCAGCTTGTTCTATGTTTAGTTTTGTTCGTGTAAGGAATTGTTTAACTCATAACTGACAACCAGACTTGTAATTACAACGTGATTGACTGATACTCCTGTACAAATGTTGCTTTTTTAAACTTAATACAGTGCTGATACGGATGGATTACATCCCAACTTCCCCATGGCTCATGTGGTTATTTCTAGACAGCTTGCTCAGGTACAGGACCCGCTGGTGCTGATCACTGGACGCAGCTTGGGAAGGAGAAACCACAGTTAAAATGATCCTGCTCCATAGCCAGGTACAGCCCATGGTGTGCTGTGGGCTTTCCATATCCCCATTTTGCTGTTCCTGCTCAACCAGCCTCTCCCTCAGCTTCAGAATCCCGTTGCTTCCACAACCAGAACTCTGCTCCTTGGGAATGGGCCAGGTACCAGCCATGGAAGGTTTAAGGATGCAGCAACGTGATGATGGTTCCTGTTGCTTGCCCCACCCGTGCCTTGCTCTGCAGTCAAGTGAATGAGCGCTGACCCGAGGTGGCTGAGCGGAGCCGGGAGGCTTGGCTGCTGCCTTCCCTTGGAACAGGAGGCAGAGCTTCCCTGCTCATCCTCCCCACAACACGGCCTTGGATAGGCACTGGAGTTGGGCCACTCTTGGTAACGAACCCTTTCGGAGCATCTTTCCTTGGCTCGCCAGGAGCCAAGTGGTTGCAAGCACCGTGATGGATTCATGCTTACAAACAGTTGTCTGTAGGTGGAGAAACAGCAGCAGCAATTAAAGGAATTAAAAAGAAAAGCCCCTGGTAAGTGCCAGGCAGGAGAACCCCACACACAGACGAAGCCCCTTTAAATTAAGAAAAATACAAAGAGATTCTGTTTAACTCTTTATTTTCCATACATTAAATTTACTCAGATAAAAACATTCTAAAAATGTACAATTTTACTTTTAACAAAGTATAATAAAACATAAAAATCCCAATACCAGAATACTTGACATTTACAATTCAAAATCAAATTAGCTGAATATTAAATATTTACAAAACTATTTAAAATATTTATAAAGTTACATGCACAATTTGTAATACTAGAATTGACCAAAGTAAAAGAAATGGCTCAAATGGAGCAGGAGTTTCCTTCATTCCTAGTGGAAAGTTATGTCCAAGAGAAGCTATTAAACTGCACGTGAAAACACACAGGACTTGCTTTCTGCTTCAGTACCAACACGGTTCTTCCTTATGTTAGGAAAAATGGAAGGGAGCAAAGGGTTAGTTCCAAGGGTTTGGTACAGGAGGTGTCGTCAGGCCGTGGCCTCTCACACCCAACGCATGTCCTGGCCTTTGGAAGTGCTCAGTCACACGGATTTCTCTCCAGCTCTGCTCGCATCCCCTTCATTTAACAGCATTCCAGACTACCCCGAACGCAGAGCTCCGAGTCTCCGTGACCTCCAATAACCAACCAGGCAGCGAACCCACGCGCTGGCGGTTCAGGTGATGTCAGGTTTATTTTAGGGAGGAACCAAGCCACGTTTCATTTCCGAGTACCCTCACCCTGCAGCTTGCCAGCCAGGAATAGCACGGGATGGAATTTGGGGTAATGGCAAAGGCCTAGCATTACCCTGTTATTTTTGGAAGTCTGGCACTTAATTTGCCAGGATTTACTGACCGTGGGATGAAAAGGCTCCACGAAGAGGGGAGTGCAGTGTGCTCTGAAGGAGCGGTCTTGCAGAGCTCTCTGATCGTACCCTGCTTGCTACAGCGACGCTTCCCTCTTCGCCCTCCGGCTGCTGGGCGTCGAGCCTGGCCCATTTATTAACGCTTCACTTGCAGACTGCCAGCGCGAGGAGGAGCTCGCTGGAAATTCCATCCTACTTCCAGTTATTTCCATCGCCAACACTCCCAAATGGAAATCACTTCTGAGATGGCACCACGCGGCGCTCGCTCCTCCCGAGGGAAGACTCCGCACTAACTTCGCTGTGCCCCTGCAGGACAGGACTCGGGATTCCCTTCCTCCTTAGGTTTCAAATTCACTTGTATTCCACAGTGAAATCCATTTTAAGAACTAATTCTTTTGATCCTTCTAGGACACAGACAGGAATAAATAGCTTTCTTTGAAATCCCCATCTCTCAATGTATAAAAATAGGTTTTAAGAACTGTTTCTTTCAGCCAGTGAAGCCGGAACTACAATTCTAAAACAAGCTGCCTTGCTTTTTGGGGGTAAAAAGATGGATTTGTGCCTTCTGAAAACAGATGGAAGGATTATTTTACAGAACTAAAGTGCTCTGTTCAGACTTACCAACTTTGGTGGTTCTTGGTACTTTAAAGTGGACAGCGTTTGCTCACAGATCCGGAGCCACAGCTCACTGGGTGTAGGGGAAGCTTGGGAATTGCTGTTGGCTCATCAAACACTCGCGCTGCTTTAAGGTACTCGAGACTTCTGAGGTTGTACTTACTCTAAAACCAGACTTTGCCACTTAAAACCGTTACCTAGAAGTACACATAAGCCACTTTAAGAAACATCAGCCTTAACTCGACACAAAGGAAACGATCCCAAAGAAAGCTCTGAAGAAAGGAATGAAACAGTTTGCTGGACAGAAGTTAAGTTTTACAGTCCTTTTGTTACGGTTTCGACGCTGATGAATATAAGACGAGACGCTGTGCCCAGCCTTGGGCATTAAACCAAAACACAACTGGTACAGAAATCAATATTCCATATTTTTTTTGCTGTTGATTTTTGCTATTTTGGGAGTGTCTGTAACAAACACTCGCGTGTGTGTTGAAATACAGTTTATTTAAATACAATTCAAAGTACTGTCTAGAAAAAAAGTGAGAAAAGAAGAAAAAAAAACAAACCCTAAAACAAAATAAAGGTTTGGCTTTCAGCACATGTTCCAGGCCACTGGAGAGACCCTCCAAAGCTGTAAAGAGTAAACATCACCACTGAAAACTGCGCGTTTCCTCAGCGTAACACAGTATGACAGATTGTTCCTACCATTGTCTCAAGCTCATTAAGGCAAAGTAAATTGCATTGTCAGTTTTCATCGCTTTAGTGTTGTAGGTCTGAAGGTCGGTGGTTAGAACTCAGGGAACCTCCTCCAGCGCAGGCAGAGCGATGGAAGCATCTCCACAGCGCGTGCGGTACCGCGGGACGTGTGAGCTGGGATGAGGATGCACAAATCTTTTCTTTTTCATTGCATAGGAATTAAAAATTAATCCGTTTTGCTTTAAAACCAAACATTATGCAGATTTAAGATTTGCGTTTCCATGAAGCCAAATCCACTACGAGCCACACATCACCACCTGGACCAAGCCTGGCTGCTGGCCATCTCGTGTTGCTGTGCCTCTCTGGCAACGCTCTTTTATCCTGCTCTGACGAGGCTGACAACTGCCCTCTGAGAACACGGGGCTGAAGGATGGCCCAGAACATTTCTTCCCTATCATCATGGTCCAGGAAGGTCTCAGCTCTCAAGCTACTGCGTCACCCCCTCACATGGACATTTCACCTTCTCCAATACAACTTCCCTCGCTTCCAAGTGAAACTGGCTGCACCACTACACATACTCTTCATCCTGGTGTGGTTTAAACTGGTGTAAGAAATACCTCCAAGTGTAAACAAGGCTTCAGACTTTCAAGGTGTCTTCCCAATCACAGTAAGGAAGTACCTCTACGGTATCAAAAAGAAGGCCTCACCCACCTAATGCTGTCAGATTCCCCGGGTGAGCCATGAAGATTAGTATCTTCTTTCAACCAGACAGGACCAAACTGTTTCAAATCAGCAGTTCAAGATTTGTTTGGCTTCCTCTCGAGTCCTAATTTAGATTTGTCACCCACAAATGATGTACGCTAAGTAGTTAACACCAAAGCTAGTCATCTACAATCTATTGCAACGAAGGAGGCTGACGAGAAATCCTTCAAAGTCGTGATAATAATGAAGTTTACTACCTTTTACATGTTTGACTTCTACCACTTCTGAAGTCTGTAGCAAAAGCCTCCGGGTAGGAGTCAAAGGGGTACTTTTTTATATAAAGTAAAGCAAAAGCTTACAAACTCTGCTGACAGAGTTCTTTTTTTTTTGTTCTTTTTTTTTTTTTTTTCCTTTTCTTTTAGGATGGTTTAAAATTAATTTACAAAAGCAGAATAATAAGGTTTCTGTGAAAGAGACCTATATACAGTAACAGGACGTAAAGATTTTGTGTATTACAGGAATATATCCTTGAAGCCTTTATGACTCTGGAGTCTCTGGGACTTGGACCCTTGGAAACTAAAGTTTATTCCACCACTGGGAACCCAGCACTATCTAGTAATAAGTGAGACAGTGAAGCACAAGTTTGTTTCCAGAAGGAACCGAAACTGCCGCGTGTGTGTCTTTTGGATGGGAAAAGGAGAGACTTACTTCAGATTTTTATTGTGTGGTTTAGTCACGTATCGCCTGCTGGTGCCAAATGTTGTCAGCTGGAACTTCTTTGCCTCTTGCACTGGTCTCAGAGGGTCTCTGTCTGCTACAAGCGCAGAAAGCTCGAGGAGTTATACATTCTTCTGTAGTGCAATCCTTAATAATCCCAGAGATTAGTGCCTGATCACTTTTGAAAAAAAGTAGACATTTTACCTAGCCCAGGGGTGCCAAAGTCCTTCTGAACGGCTGCTCCCAGCTCCCACCTCAGAATGCAGCTGCCCTGGAGCTCGACGTTTCCCCTTCGGAAGACCAGATATGGCAACGTGGCTCCAGCAAAACAAAGTACCTCAGATGTTGTACTCACATCAGGCCAGCTCCACCATCCATCGATCCTACGACACGTAGCCAGAAGTTCCAACAACGAGATCCAAGCTTGATTTTGGCAATCAAAAATGGGTTTGATGCACCCCTAAGCTAGATTTTCTACCTAGACTAATAAAGTAAAGCACCTTTGGATTAAAAAATACATTAAGCTTAACAGCAACTGGACGTCTCAGTTTTGTAGTTCAATCTCCTTATATCTCCATGGCTTACAGTATTTTCTTGCCAGATGACAAAACATCAGTCTGTGGAGTCAAGACTTTCAGAGGGAGGGGCGTATTTCAGCCTAAACGTACCTGGGGGAGAGGAAACAGAAGAGTTAAACAACATCAACCCCTTTGCATCCATTACATCCCTGCACTTTCTAAACCAAACTGCTTATTAGACACGTAACACAATATTAAGTGTGTAATTACAGCACAATGCCAGCTCGCAGCACGGTGCTGAAGCTGCAGAAGAAGCTGACAAACGTGTCTGCAATTGGTGAAGCTGAAAATCAAAGCTTAGTTTTACACTGTTGAAGTCACCACCTTAAATATAGTTCTTCAAAACTTCACTTGGGGTAATTTGAATGGTAATTTAATTAATGAAATGGAATTCAGCTTAAAAAGACACTGGACTGTGTTTCTGAAGTTCTCTGAATTAGGACTGATGAGGCAGTGTTGCTTCTTCCCCACTGGCCACTATCAAAATGTTACCCACAAAACCACCATTAATTAGGTACATTTTAGCAGTGCTGTCAAGTGCTGCCTCAAAACCAAGTCACTTGTTAATTTATAGCATTCAAATACTTGTCTGCACCGTATAAATCCAAACACAGACACCCACCACAGACAAGACACCGTGTAAAATGAACGCCTCAGTGCGGTTCCCTCCAGTCAAAAGTTCACGTTCCATTTTTGAAGCCTACACCACATGCAAATTTTCCCAACGCAGTATGTCAGTACAAATAAAAGAGAAAAGTGGGACTAGAAAGTGCTCTCAGTTTAAAGTAATGTTCTTTGCTGTTTCTCACCTGGAATTAAGGATTTCAGCTCTCTCCTGGAGAAACCTGGGCTGTAACTATGTAAGCAACAAACCCTACAAAACAATTATAGCAGCAAACACAGGGGCATCTGAACAGCAACTCTGATTTTGGTTACTATTCTGGGGAGGAAGAGAAGGGGGGAACAGAGCTGTTCAGTCTGCAAACATCCAGGGGAACTTGCTGTTAGAACCAAAGACGACTGGATGACAAGGTGTAAAGCAGCAACAAGTCAGCTGCGACCAGTCAACAGAAGCTCCTTCCGAGCTTCTCCCCTTCCCAAACAGCACATGCCCTGCAGGGCACCCGGTTCTGACCCAGGGCTTTACTTGGGCCCTACGTCCTTGCACTGGGTGTGCACAAAATCAAGTTGAACTTGCAAATACAGCTAAACCCCACCAGCTTTCAAGAACCAGGTTTCTTTATGCAAGTGAGAAGTCAACGACAGGGCACTGCCATCAGCCCCCCTCCAACCCTTGGGGTGTGCAACCATTCCCCTTGGCTAAGCACAGCACTCTGTGGGTGAGCCACGTCCTGCCTCAGTCCCTCCTCCTGCTTTTACCTTGTCGATTGAAATCCATCGGAGGCTGTTTGCAGTCCTGAGCTCTGTGACCACTGGCCCCGCAGTTGTAACAGGAGAGATTCCCGTTTTTTTTGTGACTTGAACCATTGCTGTTTGCCATCATTCCCTGTGCCTGATACACCCCTGCTGTCCCTGCCATAAAGTTCTGCATTGGTGGTACTGCAAACGTCGACTGCCCGGTCATCACGGAGTCCGGAGCTATACCGCTGTTGTAAGCAGTGTGGACCACGGGGAAGGTGGTGCTGCTGTTGTACTGCTGCGTGTTGATGTAGCCGTTACTGCACAGCGGGTTGAAGGGCAGAAATGGGAAAGTAAACATTGACGGGCCTGAAAACGGGTGCTGGAAATAGTTGGCGTAGCTGACGGTCATACCGCTGGATCCGCAGTTCCCACTACACCCGCAGGAGCTGCACACCATGCACCCGGGCGGCTGCGGCGGCTGCTGCTGCTGGTGGTGATGGTGGTGGTGGTTCTGGTTTGGTACCGGGATGCTCCCTGCGGATCCGCTGCTGCTGCTGCTGCTGCTGAGGCTGCTGCGCCTGCGCCGGCTGCTACTGCTGCTGCTGCTGCTGCTGTAGAAGTTGTTGTCGGCAACAGAGGAGAGCGTGGGGCTGGAGCTGGGTGCAGGGCAGCTGGGCAGGTTGGCCATGGTCGCGTAGGATGTGGAGGGGTGGCTGCTGGAGGAGGCTGCGTTGCTGTTTGCACAGAAGCTGCCTTGCATTGGGGCCACTGGCATGCTGCTCATTGCAGAAAAGGCAACTTTGGTGTTGGCTGTGTACAGAGCATGTCGGCAACAGAGGAGAGCGTGGGGCTGGAGCTGGGTGCAGGGCAGCTGGGCAGGTTGGCCATGGTCGCGTAGGATGTGGAGGGGTGGCTGCTGGAGGAGGCTGCGTTGCTGTTTGCACAGAAGCTGCCTTGCATTGGGGCCACTGGCATGCTGCTCATTGCAGAAAAGGCAACTTTGGTGTTGGCTGTGTACAGAGCAGTCCGGGGATTTATTATTGCAGGGGACACCGTTATTTGCATATTACTGGAGCAGGAAGTCTGTCCTGCAATAGCAGAATCAGTAGGAAGAGATGAAGACACCAGGAGTTTGATGGGTGGCCGAGCCACGTGGAAGACTGTGCTGGATGTTACAGTGGCAGCAGTACTCGTTTCTACTATTAATCCTGGCTGCTGAGCTGTTTTTATCACTCTGTCCAGAGTTGAAGCATGTACAACTTTCGTTCGAGGACCAAAGTTAATAGCAGAAGTGGGTGAGCTGTTCTCAGCGGCCCCTGACAGCACTTGCAAGGGCTGGTGGGGAGAAGATGCAGACATTACATCCACCACTGTATTTCCAAAGCTCTTTTCCATTTTCATGCTGCCCCTGGATCCAGGAGAAACTTTATTTCTTTCTTCTAAAGATAAAAGAGAATGCATAGAGGATGACAGTAGCTTCATGTCTGCACTGCCACGCTCTGATTTATGCACTGAGTTTAGCATCCGAATGGGGGTGATGTGAGTAGAGGCTGCTGACATCATCTGCATGGGCAGAGCGTGGTGGCTGGACGGATTGGAGCCCGCGTCGTTCTGCACTGGCAAGACTTGAGCTGTGGGTCTGGCAGAGCTCGAAGTGAAATGGTTCAGTAACATCACTGGCTTCTCCTTTTCTGAACCGTCTAAGTGAATCTCTAAACCTAGGGACAGAAACGTCTGTAAGTACAACTGCTCCACTAGACAAAGCTGGGCAATACAGGCACCCTCTCTGCTTGGTTCTGCTTACGTCTGTCGTTCTCCTCAGCGCTGTCTGAGCTCTCTTCCCTTGTCTGGATCCCCATGGGGCTGGAAGAAGAGCTGGAGTACTCAGAAGAGCTGCCTTCACGGGGCAGTGGGTGAGCTGGCTGATCCACATCCACTCGCAGCTCTGCAGATGACGGGTGTACAAGTCATCAGGAGTGCAGACACAAGTGGTTAACACCTACTTACAACTGTTTCATGACACCATCTAACATACAGTGATGCTTAAGGTTTACGGACACAGATCAGCTAAGGAGCAGGAGTCTGGAGGCTTAACAATTGATGGCTAGTGCAGCCAGCCAGTCACATGGAACCCACAAGGAGAAAACTACTTTTAACTGCACCACACATACACAGGCATCATAGAATCACAGACTGGTTTGGGTTGAAGGGACCTTAAAGCTCCTCCAGTTCCAACCCCTGCCACAGGCAAGGACACCTTCCACTAGAGCAGGTTGCTCCAAGCCCCTGTGTCCAACCTGGCCTTGAACACTGCCAGGGATGGGGCAGCCACAGCTTCTCTGGGCACCCTGTGCCAGCACCTCAGCACCCTCACGGTGGGATATTTGGACTTTTTGATTGCTCCCTATTAAGCCAGTGACATTTTGGAAGTTAAAGCTTATGACAGGTCGATGAAAAAGCACTGCATGAATGAGCTTGCTCTTGTGCAAGGACACAGTCAGTCCTGAGATCAGAGCAGGGTCCTCTGCTCCTCTTTCTTACCTGCAGCATGGTTGCCACGAATACCCTGGATTGGCCCTACATGTGTAGTAGGGGGAACCCTTGCCACCCCGCTGCTGGTTACTGAAGAAGGTGTTGAGGGGTTTAGGCACCGTTTCTCCGACTTTTCTCTATAGGGTGGTGGAGAAACATAAGAGAAAACAGAAAATAGCTAAAGCACACCACCACATACATCGATTTCTGAATGAAACTGAAGCAGACTCAGCCCACTAAATAACCCACTAAATGCTATGCTAATTTCAAATGGAAACGTTTGGAAACCACATCAATCATGACCATAGCTTCTTGCCAGCAGTTACATTTGGACTGTGTGCTGTCTGATTACAAAACTAATGCTCTTATTTGCAGTAGGTAAAATATCACCCAACAGTGACTAAATCCTACCACACATGACGCAAGTATATATCCCAAGCAGAGCCACGCACACCAAAACCAAAGAGAAGCCAAATGCAGCTCTAAGTTTCCATTTTGTAAACACAGTCTGGAAAAAACTAAGACTGATGAAAAGTGCTGTCAAGGAGCTTTGATAAATGGGCATGGATTTGGATTTTTAATTACTTTTAAAGTAACTGCAGAAGCTTCAGAATAAACATTTCTCTCTAAGAGGAGATGCAAAAAATAGGACAGTCTGTTGCATCAGTTTCCCCAAAGGGCTATTAATACTGCACAGAGCACTGGCAATATTATGTCTGGCAATATTAAGATCATGAAGCTGCAATCTTCCTGAGACCAGGGGACAAGAGGTATTGTACGTTATGATTGGGTTGTTGTATCCTTTTAAAACAGAGTTCACAAACTCTTTCCATTTGGTGATCCCTACCACAACCCTGAACAGGCGACAGTGAACCAGTACACCATAGATATTATCTGGTAAGAGCTTTTCAAAGTAACCAACGCATCTCCAGAGGAAGGGAGATAAGCATTACCCATGTTTACAGCTGTGAATCCTGATAGGTTTATGCTCTACAAAGCAAAGACCATCATAAAACTTGTATTAAATATCTTACGGCCTTAAAAAGACAGTTCAGACGTGCACACACACAAACACTTACTTCTCCAACTCCAGCTGGGTCTTGAGCTTCTTCTTTGCTCCCATGGTGAGGGATTCAAACTTATTCAGATCTTCCTCAGTAAGACTCAGAAACTTGTAAAGAAAAAACAATGCCTATTTAGTTTCACAGCCTGGAATATTCTTATTTACATTTTCAGTAGAGATCAACTCTGAAAGGCAACTTTAAAGCCATTTTTAAACATATGTTAATTCAAAGAAACTCTCTACTCTAGTTTTTAGTTACAGAATCAGTGTAGACAGAAAGTGTGGGGGACCAGCATGAAAGAAAGAACACGTGCAGATTGAATTTAATTAGGTGTGTGCTTATACTTACTACTCACAATAAAGATGAAGTAATTTGTGTACCTATTAAAAAAGAACTTTGTACTATAAATGGGTTTAAGGATCTGATTCTTTGAAAAAAAAACCCACTCTGGTTTTCCTAGTTGTGTCATTTAACACAGAAATCAATATGCTGTCATCTCATCAGTTTAATTAGAAAATATACTCAAAATTAAATCTTAAAATAAAACACAGACATAGAATATGAAATTAAAATATATGCATTTATAATATAATGTAATGAAAGTCAAAGTCAGCGAAGTATGTACAGTAACACATGCTTTTTTAAAAACACACTAGAATATGCACGGGTTTGCTACTTTATTAGAGAACAAAACACTATATATTTCCTCACATAATGGTGAAAATCGAATCAGAAGACTCTGGTAACAGATTAGAATTAAATCCATACAACATACCACAACCAGCATAAAACCACCCCATTTAGACCTGGACCTAAGCACTTGTTCCACTGGAGGGCGTTCAAGGCTAAAAAACAGTAAGATGACATGAATTTCATAGGTGGAGCTGGGTAAATGCTGCAGACGTATTCCATTTAGATAAAACCCAGCACACAGAGGTATCATCTGTGACTCTTACTGTGCAAATATATAAGTGATTGCTTTTCCACAAGAATTTCTGCAGAAAACAAAATCCTCACGTTCACTTGCAGGTATGTGCGCACACTACTGTTCATTTCAGAAGTCTCTGAATCTATCTTTTAAAATCAGGATAACCAAGTATTTTGGGAGAAAAATCCACCAAGAAGCAGAAACAATAATAAAAAACCCCTACAAATTTTAGTTATGTGCTGCACATCAAAGGGATGAACAGGGAGCCAAAGCAGAGCTCCTGAGGCCATGTGAAAGATGGATCTTCAACTACATAGTGAAGAATTCTGAAGCAGGAGGCAGCTGTGGAGCAGCCCAGGCCCTGGACACAGCACAGAGCCAAACAGAAAGCTTTTCATCAAAATATTACTGCTTCAAGGGAGCAAAACCTTCACAGCATTTGCCAACAACTTCTGCAATTCTCGATGCAGATGTCTGCAGCCTCTGCCTCCGCACTAGAGAACACGAGTATGATTTGAAAGCTGCCTCGCTTCTCTTAATCCACTGCCCTACCTTCTCCATCGTGAGCTGTTTGAAGACAGGATAGTATTTGTGCAACCGCAGTTTCCTGAGCCAGTCTAAGATCCCATTTTGCTCCTGTGTCTGAGGGGTCTGCGGACTGGAAGACATTAACATGGGTGAAGAAGAGGTGTCCATCTGGGAGCGATAGGCCAGCGACGAGCTGGTACCTCCTGCATGGGAACAGTGGGGTAGTGCAACAGGAGCAGCAGCCGAGTGTTGAACGTGATTCTGAGAAGACTGAATGCCAGCCACTCCACATATAGGTCTGCAAAAGAGTCACCATAATTCATTTTAGCACATTGAATCTGTCTCACCCATAGTTCAGCTACTACGGCCACCAAATCTACCACTTCCAGGATTTCTAGTAGATTCTGCACTGTTGGATCCAAGTTAGAGATTTGTATCTCTGCTGTTGCATAGCACAATAAGAACAGTGCAGCTTAGGGCAAACAGTGTTATCTTTAGCTTAAGCAGAGGTTTCCCTCTATAATCACAGATAACATATGGTCTACTACCTCTGTGATTTAAAAGAAATGTAGAGAGAATGGCCATGGTTTATCTAGTTCTTTGCACTACTAAAAAGAAGCCCAGAGAGAATCCAGTGGAAATTTTCACATGAGGAAGTGGCAACACAACCCACAATATTGTCTCCTTGGAGGGTCCTGTTTTTTGCTAAAAGAAAATGAAAATTGCCTCTTAAGAGAGTAAGTTCTGAGTTTGTTAAATCCTAACAAAAGGCAAGATAATTTCTTTCCTTCTTTTCCCAAGGCTGATTTCTGCCTCCCTTAGAAGAGGTCTCCTCCTTCCCTCTGAAATGAAAACCCCTGCTGTACAAGAAAACACTCAAATATGCTTTAGAGAGAAAAAACCCTTTCAGAGATGCTCTAGTCTCACTTTGACCACAAAGACCTGTACTAGGGATGACACACGCCTACAATTCAGATTCAAAACAATTCCTTCTAAGTATGTAATTGAGACCACTACCACTTCAGTAAGCAGCAGATCACAAAGAAATCATCCATCACCACAGCTCAACACTGAAGTGTTGATGCTGACTAGTAGTTACAGCTTTAAACCTTTATAGAAAGGCTGCTTAGAGCAGGTTTTACTGCCAGCAGGAACACTGCAATCCTCCGATCTTATCTCCCATGTAACGCTGGCCAAAAGGTTTCCCCAAATTCTTCCCTGAACATACCCATTTCTTAGGGCAAGAGAGCCACTGCTGATCTCATAACTGCCAAGGACAGATAGTTCCTGATGACTGTGATGTGGTTTTGCAACTAACCAGAACAAATGTAAATGTAATAAATATTTCACCTTCCAGATGTTCCCAGCGTAGTTCCTACTTTATAAAGGGAAGGGTTGCCAGGATCTAAAAACAGGGAACAGAAGTTACAAGTGGCATCGGTTTATGAAACGTGCATCTGTGCAAAAAAATTCATTTTTAAGCTTTATTTAAACTTACTTGAACTCTGAAGTTGCTGTGAAGGAGATGAAGTGCTGAAGAACTTTCTGACATGGTCATTTTTCACCACATGGGAAGGTAATGGTGCCAAATACCTGCACATTCATCAAAAGCAAACAAACCCACCCATTCTGTTATATTTCATTTGCAGCTGCCTATATAGTCAAGATTATAGACTGTACATGACATTTTGAAATTGAGTTGGAAATTCTAAAACTAAAACATAAAAGACCTTTCAAATTAATAAGACTGTGCAACACTGAATCAACTGAACACTACTTAAACACGTTACCATTGTGCTGCTTTCACTCTGTTGAGTGTTCCGGAAAAGGTGCTTAATTTAGGAACACTGGACACTTGTAAAGAAGAAAATGTTCAAATATAAACTTGAAAATTTCCGTGCAAATTCACGAATCTGAAGACCATAAAATATAGATGTATCTGTTATTTAATTTTCTCCTCTTGGAGATAAACAGCAGATGCAGAGTCTGGCAGCGTACGGAAAAAGGCTGTAAAACTTCTGTCACATTTTCTTTGGGATTGCTGTGCCTCTTTTGAGGGAAAATCTCCTAAAACTTTGCAATGTATGAAGTGTGTTCCCTCACCAGGTATAAACTTCTCACGGTCATGCAAAAACTTTGGCCAAATCTTCTACAGATTTCAAAAACATAGAAAATTGTTTAGAAAAGAGAGCATTTTGACCGTATCTGTGCCATTTTTAAGAAGTCTTTGAGTAAAAAATAATCAATTATACACATGCACACAAATGTGCTTTCCACCTTGAAAAATCACAGTTAAACTTCTGACTATTTCACCTATGCAGCATTTAACAGAACAGCTTCTTTCTCTGCTCCAGAGATACAACCATTGCTCTGTGAACACAGATTGCTGCTCCATTAACCTAGATTTATAGAGACTGTTGCAGGCTGAACAGCAGCAACATGCATTCTCTTTTACCCTCCCTAATTCTTGTCAATAGGCTGTGATCCTCAAAGCACAGAAGAGACTATGTGAAATGTTAATGCTCTTTGCCATTAAAAACAATCTAGGCAAGCACCTGCTGGCTCCGACTATGGAAAACCAATATCCAAGGTGGCTCTGCCAGTCTGGACTTAGGGAAGAGAGATGTTTAGCAGAAGCTCTAATTAAAGTTAATTAGTATTTTAAAATGCCATGTAAAACTTTGCACAGATACAGACAGTAGCAGCTGTCAATAATTTAAGTCCCTCAAATTTTCCTAGCAAAACTATTGTGGTATTTAGAAAGAGAAGACTGATGTGACCTGCCACAGATGATGATTTTGTAAATGGTGGGTTAGATCAGATAATGGCCAGGTGATTTGTGATAATGTGAAGAGGTATTATTTAAGGCTTTAAAAAGGTCTTAGCTGTTAATGGCTCCCACAAACCTAATGGCTATTATATATACATACATATATATATACACACACACACACACATAACCACCTTTTAAAAATGAAAGTAAAATAAATACCATGACAACCTAAAACAACTGACATAACAAAAAAACTCTCTAAAGAGGTGTGGGGGGGGGAAGAAAATGCCCACAACCCATCCCTCAGTACAGAAGGATAACTATTCAGGCAGCTGTATTTTCCTGAGTTTTTGGGCTATTTTTTTGAGCCCAAACCAAGCTCCTTCAAAGCCCATGATCCTCTATTTGTTTTGAATAAGGAATGAGGAAATGTCAATTTTCCAGGAAGCTTAATACTGAATATTATTACCATCTGTATTTCTGAAGAAAGAATTCCTAGAAAATTCTTCCACACTGGAATTAGTAGAACATCAAGAAATAATGCTTAGGATCATGCTCTAATTTCTTGAAAGTAATTTAGAATATGAACATATAATTTCTATTTCCTGGGTTTTTTTCTTCCAGTTGGTGAAAAAAGACAAGTGTCAAGGAAAAAACTCACAACAACAGAAATCCCAGCATACCTAAGGTCCGATTCCAGGTCCATGTGGTTCCGTTCTAGGTAAAATGAATCTGGACCAGCTAGGCAAGGAATGAATTTCTCCAAGTTTTCTTCTGGATACAGCTGAGATAGCTAAATGTGAAGGATATCACAAATAATAAGTGAAAAGAAGACGCATTACGCATATGAGGTTCAATGCACAGCAATTTGTAAGTCAAACATTTTATGAAATTCAATCTGTATTATCTCAGCATATCTAAAAAATGTCATTTAACAAAACTATATGCAGGGACAAAACACCCTCCTATGTTCAAAGTGTTTCTGATATGACCTTTACCTTTGAAATAAACTCAGTCACTTCAGAGGAAGATTTGGTTACCAACGTCACTGAAGAATCAGACCACAGGACCTTAGGAAGTAAAAAGCATTCAGTTTAGTAACTAATGGTCAGGGATTTAGGTTTGGTTCCAAAAGATCAAGAATGGTTATCAAATGTCACCCCCCAACTGCAAGAAAGTTTGCAATGTGTGAGAGCAGTAAGGAAAATCTCCTTTTTGTGCATAAGTAACTATTACCCACTCCTCCCTCGCTGCCTGATTCTTGCTGTTATTATACTTAGCAGCTACTCTGAATGCTTAAAAAAGCTCTTCATAGTTTACACAGCCATAGCACGCTGCAGACGTCCAGTATTAAGCAACAGACTAGTAAGTAATGGAAATTTTTTTCTCTCATTACTGTTAAAGAAAACAGCTGGTTTGTAGAATCTGATGTTGAATATGAACAACTCACCACAGCACAACAGTGCCTATTTATAATTAATAAACTCCATATGCCATGCAAAGTTGAAGATGGCAGCAAATCACCTCACTGCAAAGAAAGGCAAAGCCTTAGAAAGGAAATCTGCAGCTCCTGCTCTAGCCACGCTCTTTAGAAACCATCTTGTATATGCCCTAGAAGAAGGAAAGAGTTCAGTATCTCTTCTCATACGCATTAAGTCATTACATTCTTAGATACAGAGGCATTTATTGCATGGTAGATGATTAGCTTAACTGAGCCAAAACCAGGATTTCTTGGCACAAAGGACATCAGCATGAGACTGGCCAGTGATAAATGCCTTCAGGCTTCAGGTATCTGTTCATGGCATTTGGGAAGCATATGGATCTTCAGCAGTTCTATAAGGGAGGAAGCTGGATTTATGCATTAAGAATCAGGAGACCATCTTCTCACATGACACTAGTTTCAATGACAACTGAAAACATACACAAAGTTTTTCCAGCCATCAGAATGCTGCCAAAAAGACTGGTGAGAGGAGAGTATTTCAAAATACATTACATAATGGAGGAATTTCCTCTCTGAAGAGCTATTAGACAAAAAAATAAGGAAAAACAAAAAAGAAAAGAGAACTGAAGCAGTTTCTGGTTTTACAAAGCCTGTGGGGGTTTTTGTTGGGTTTCTCTCAATGTTTGTGATAAACGAAAACTTTTTTTAGAATTCAGGAGAAATTTCAGAAAAATCTAGAACTTTCTTCCTAGTTTTGTAACAACCCAGTATTTGTTATGACTTCCATTTTGTCAACTGGTTATAATTTTCAATACTTATAAAACAAAAATATGAATCATAAATGCAAAGAACAGTAACATTACGAAGCAATGCTGAAAACACTAAACTACTCTATTGACCTTCTATTCCCAAGCTGCTAAACAAAACATTTAATAGTTGGGTTTCTAACTGAGCAAACAGTAATTTATTAGCTAAACTAAATTACATATTATTCTTTCAGTAATAAGCTGTCAAGTGAAATGCTGGTGAAAGTGGTTTCTGGTATTTAAAGAAAAATTTATAATAGGAAAACATGTTTCACAAGATACTAATATGTAACTGCGTATTTCATAAAGATTTTTAAAATCCGTTGAAAAACTCCTTTCTAATATTGATATTTGGAACAATCATGGGATTTGGAAAATGCAGAACATCATCCATGAACCAAGTCACACAGAGGTTAATGCTGTCAGCATCACAAGCAGATGCTGAACTGATCTTGGGTGGTAGTTTTCAAGAGTAACTTTTTCTTTCTGATAAAATTGTAGATAAAATTGTAGAGAATTTAAATTCTGCTGTTTTCTTTCAAGTTCTCCTTTTCTCACCAACTGTTTGGCTCCGCTGCCTCATTAAGCAAACCAAAGACATTTTCTGGGCTTTGCATTCTGAATTTTGGAATACATCGTTCCAGCTAGATGGAAGAAAAGCAGTTTGCCATTCTTGTTCGCCAGCACCCAGAATCCAGTCTCTGCTATTAACACAAAGCTTCACACAATGAAGTCATCCCTCCACAGAAACTGTGAGCAATGACTGGACCTCCAAAAGCTGCATGAATAGGAGGGGAAGCCACTTCTCCCAGCAGCTTGTGGCTAGCCACCCTCATTCCAAAGAAACTATTATCACTTCCAGTTTGAATTAGTCTGGCTTCAATTTTCAGACCTCGGTTCCTGTTATGCCTTTGTCTGCTAGATTAACGCTGCCTTTACAGTGTAACATTCTCTTCCCTTTGAAAACGCTTTTATAGGATACTGAAAATCATCTTTCAGTCAAGTCTCTCACTACACGGCATTTTCCTCAAGCCTTGAGTAATTTCCAGAGCTATTTTCTGTCCTTCTCAACACTCCTTTTATAATCAGTAACGCCTGAAGGATACACCACAGTCTCGCACTCCCTTCAGTGCTGAAAGCAAAAGATAAATGACCATCCTACCTCTTTTCCCATATGTGCAGCAGTGCCCAAAGAGTCTAAATTCTCATTTGCCCAGATTAAGACTTAAATTCTTTCTAGCTTCTGCATTCAGCACATAGATAACCGTTCTGTAAGTGTGGCATGATATTTGCCCCCTAAATATAAACTTAGCCGTAACTTGCTGCATTAGAGTGAATATATCTTTTTTTGCCTGTGTCCCACTTACCAGACAATCTCTGCATCACCCACATATGCTCATAACCAGCCATTTATGACTACTTCCAAATCATTGTTTAAAAAATGAGACTACCATCTATCTCAAAGAAGCTCCACTGGAACAGCTTCTGCGATCCAGCAATGAGGTTTGAAAGCTTCTTTAACTCCTCCTGAAGTATTACTAACCTCCCTTCTTTCACAGTAAAAAAACAACCTTACCTCAAAGGAATATTCAACATTTCTTTCATTCTTCTTGTGTGCCAGTCCCTTTAATTCCACTTTTTCAACACTCACTATGAAAAAACAAAGAGATAAGAAGAATGAGGCAGATATGCTTAAATACATGCAAAAGTGATGACTCTCCGATAGTGCCAGGACTTGTTTTGAGAGCATCTCATGCTGTGGCAGTGCTTTGGGTGTACAGCTCAGGCAGGTAGGAAGGTTGATATCACTGCTGCATGATGCTTTCAACTCGAACCTTAGCAAAGCTTTGTCTCAACCAGTACCCAAACAATACACTAAATGCAGAGGTCCTCATGGCCTTATCATACCACTCATCTATACAGTAACAGTGCACTACACAGATTGTATGGACTTATCTTAATAACATCAAAGAGCAAACACCATCCCTCTGAGGGAAATCTGGCAAACAGAGAAATTCAGACAGGCAAAAGCCTCCATGTTTTCAGAGGCTGATTTTGCAGGGAGTTCAGTGTGGGTTTATTGCACTGTTGACATCATGACAACTCCTCAACCGCAGTTTCATGGAAAATTTCAGCCTCAATTACTGCAATTTGAGTAAGTTGTACGTAAAAACAGGATCTTACTGTGGAAAGGGTTGAGTAACAGCACAGGTCACCGCTTCCATCTCTACATATGGTACACAGCCATCAAAGACACGGCTTTACACATCACGTATTTGATACGCTAAATTCTTGGAGACTCTCATTTCCCAGTACACACAGACAGAAATTCCACCATGCTGAACTTTACAAAGATTATTTCACTGACTTTCTATTTGTCTTGCAAATTTCTCCTGCCTTTTGACTGCACGCATGGGGATACACACACAGAGTTTTTCTTACAAAAAGCTAATTTACATCAGCTTAAAAATTCAAAAGCAATTATACTAAAACAAAGTCCCTGGAATTTTACCTCCAAGCGAGGTGCTTGAAGGGATGCATGCTGTGTATATTGTATCTCACTTAGTGCTTCTAACAAAACCCAGAGATCTAACATTTTGTTTCTGGTGAATCACCATTTACAACATGTTTAGCTATTCTCAAGGCTATTTATACTCTGTATTACCTGACTCAAACCCATGTTTATCACATATAACAACTTCCTCATCACATAAGTGCATGACAAAAGAACTGCGGTGCAAAAAGCCATAGCGACAGCGTTACAACAGGCAACCTGTGTCATCGGCCTCACGTCTCCCTACTCCCCGCAGTGAGCTTGACTTTCCTGTACCTAAAAACAATCATGACCTGAAGTCTTTATTGTGGCCATTTAAAAATTTTTGGTGTGTCCTGCTCATTTAAAAATGTTCCAGGCTAGTTCTTGGCTCTTTTAAAGACCTCCTCTTCCAGTCTCATTTACTTGCAGTTGAACTTTTTAGAACTGGCAAGTTTTAAATAGATCCACAGATGTTGATGCCTGTCTTTAAAATACAGAATTAACATTCCTTTTATGATATCTCAACCACTCCTTCTCCATGTAATTCCCAATTACAGTAACACAAATCCCTGAGCTTATGAATAATGTCAATTCATTACTTACTACTTTCTCCTGCATATTATGGTTTTTGTAGAGACTAGCTCCTCTTAAAGACTTCAGTGGATTCCTTGCCTGTTTCTGAAATGATTTTATAGTACTACTGAGCTGGTACATTGTATGCTGAGCACCACAGGAATAAATCTTCTGCATGCCAGGTACCGATGAGCAATTTAGACAGTATGTAGTGGCATAAAGATTTAAGCATGCACATGGTACAGAGGATTTCTTGCCATTTTAAGGAAAATCTACCTTGGTACACTTATGTAAGAGATTTCAGGTCACCCCTAATTGTGATCACAGTTAAAATACACTGAGAATTGGTTGGAATTACTTGTTCTTCAGAATTATAATTAGAAAGAACTTAGGAAGTGGATATTGATAAGAGGTATCACCATGCAGCTGGTGAAACAGCTGAAGGATGAGCAAATAACTTAGAGAAAGCCTCGTGTCAACTGCTGCAGCATCTGTTCTTGGAGTAGGATAAAGAAAGCCAGAAAGACATTACGAGTCAAACCCTAACAAAGACATAACAAGTGTTCCTCACCACTTGTCACTCATAGCAAATCCAGTGTCACTTTACTTATCATTGACATTTCTACAGTATTCAAGTCCCATCTCTTTACCTATTCATCTACAGTAATTCAGGCAAAATAGTATTACCTATCAATACAAAAATCAAGCTATTGCTCTTTTTCTATATGGATTAATAACAAACCTTAAATCACCTCGTGGATTTTGCTGTGCTGACAGTTCCATGACCTTTTCATGCCTAAATTCTGGTCTGAACTTAATCTAGTTAATATAATCTGCTGAAGTGAATTTATCCTCTGGAAAATGACTGTAATTAGCAAAGCAAACCATTAGGTAGTTATTTCTGCACCTTGCAGCAATTCCAAACCAAATCTTGTAAGATTAGGTCTGTCCTAGAGCATGAAATATAGTTCACTGTGTAGCAGCAATACGCTTCTAGGGACAAGTGACTATATAATTTCTAATTATATGAAGTGCTCCAGTAATTTTCTCCCAATTATCTAATGCCATGAAAAATATCACCTATCTCAGAGTTTTGTTTAATTTGTTAAGTTGTATATTTTTGTTATGTGGCCCCTCACATACTCTTTGTATTTGTCCTGGGTTCAGCTATAGCAGTCATTTTTTCTCCTTCTTAGTAGCTGGTGCAGGGCTGTGTTTTTGACTTTCAGCCTGGGAACAACGCTGATAACACCGATGTTTTTAGTTGTTCCTCAGTAATGTTTACTCTGACCAAGGACTTTCTCAGTCTCATGCTCTGCCAGGGAGGAGGGGAAGCCGGGAGGAAGCAGAGGCAGGACACCTGACCCAAACTGGCCAAAGGGCTATTCCATACCACAGCACGTCATGGCCAGTATAGAAACTGGGGGGAGTTACCCGGGAGGCCCAGATCGCTGCTCAGGTCGGGCTGGGTATCGGTCGGCGGGTGGTGAGCGGTTGTGTCCTCTACCCTTGTCAGTCCTCTTATCATTATTATTGGTAGCAGTAGTGGTTTGTATTATACCTTAGTTACTGGAGAGCTGTTATCTCAACCCATGGGAGTTACATTCCTCCGATTCTGCTCCCCATCACTCTGGGAGCAGGTGGAGGAAGGAAGAGGGGGGAGCGAGCAAGTGGCTGCAAGGTTCCAAGTTGCCGGCTGGGCTTAAACCATAACAGTATTACTTACTCTACATTTGGTTTTATTAAAATAAGCTTCCTAAACCTACCGTGAAGCTCACCTTTATTCAGAACAATCAATTATACAACATTCAGGAAGAAAAAGGTGCCACCTACCAAGCAGAAACAAGTAGATATTAAATGTGCTGCCTAACTAATAATAAAGTAAAAAAAAAAAATATGTATTTTTTAATAGTATTTACTATCAAAAGCACGGGAAATCACTCAAAGAGCTGATTCTACCCAGTATCGCTATAAATGATTTCATCACCAGAAAAACTTTAGTATGGAATTAAGAACACATGATACTGTTGTCTTTTCAGGATGCTAAATTCAAGAAAAATCAAGCTTCTCAACCCAGGGGATAAAAAAATCTCCTAAAGTTACTATTTCTAATTCAGGAGATATCCAGAGATAGTGTATCTGCACTACTTTACATTTGAGCTTTGAGTCTGGAACTAATCAATGGGAACTCATCCCCAAGTAGTCCAGCTACGCTCTCCACCTTAGGCTTTGTTGTTGTGCAAGGGGCAGGATCCATCCAGAGCGGCTTGGCAGGACACCAGTCACAACATCACATCTCAGAGACATAGTTTACTCTCTGCTCCCCTCTCCCAGCACTTCCCTATAAAACGATCCAAGAAAAGTGCTTGTGTGTAAGTGTACATGCCTCCCTCTCTGCTAGGCTAAGCTGCATTGGCAGAGGGGCACAGAAGACTTCCATCATGGAGATTTATCCATGATTATCTAGGGAATTAAGGCAGGGAAGTGAAAGTGTCAGACAAGATCACAAATGACATATGAAAGGGGCAGAGAAATACAAAGGAGGCTGTGGCACCCTTTGGGTTACAAGTGCCTTGCAGCATCACTCAGAAACAGGCAGAGCACTGCAACATACCCACACATACACATATTCCACACCCTATGCACCCATTTGTCGTTTCTAGGAACCAGACTTTTCACTAGCTGAGCCTCTGCTGTTTGCGGAAGCCTACTTTGAAAGGGCAGCAGACAGCACAAAACCATCTTCATTCACTCACACATTTTCTGTAATCAAATTTCCCAAGTTGGTTTTTGTGGGTTTTTTTTTTAGTATTACTTTATTTGCTGCTTTCTTTTACACACAAAAGAGAAGTCTTCTTCATGTAGTTTTCAACTGTACATAGAATTGTATCAAGTATGGAAGCTTGCATTCGAAATACAGCAGAGGCAGGAATCACAGCCATTAGAGGTGCTTCCCCCCCACTCCCTGGTACAGTATGTCAAGGCAAAATATTTAGCGGGTTTGAAGACATTTTATCCAGGTCTGTTTTCTTATTCAAGCCTTTACCCATTTGGCTGGTATTCGTGCATTTGTCATCAATTAGTTGAGTGTCTCCATGAAGGCACAGACAACTCCTCCCCTCTTCCTCATGACCCAGGTATTCAAGCCTCTGGCTTTCCTGATGACAGCCTCTCCCTGGGAAAGAGCAGGATCTTGGACCTCCTTCTCCCAAAATGTTAGCAGCTACATAAAGTGAAAGATAGAGTCAAACACTTTAGGATTAGCCACTCCTGGCAGGTCAGGGTAAAACATGCAGTGGATATAGGTGAGAGCAGAAGAGACATCATATGTGGAAGACACATTAACACCCCATTGCAGGTTGGGGTTTTTTCAGCTTCTGGATCAAGGCCCTGTTAACCAGTAAAAGGACCGGATGAATCAATGTCTCAATCTACACTGAGATTTTTTTTTTTTTAATTCCTCCTGAAAAAGTAAAAAAATTTGAGATAATCACACGAGTGCTGATTGAAGGCTACTCTTTTTTAACAGCATCCAATAATT